ACTCATGAATATGGAAATTTCTCGAGGCTGAAGCCTGTGGTCACGCCCTCTACCTGTAGGTGGATGGTGATGCAAACCTCTCTGGGAGGGGCTGCTCTGAGCCAAACGTGTGTCTGCAAGGGGCAGGCTAACGGAGATGTAGATTGTGTGTCTGGATTCTGAGGGTGTGGCCGAACACCTGCCCATGCCCAGCCAAGAATCAAGACATCCTTCCACAGCTCGACATGATAGGACTGCCTTTATATGTTATCTATCCTTTTTCCCATGCCTCTTTAATATTCTTTCCTTGTTCTGTAGGTTTTGTGTTTTATTGTGTGGTGGGAGGATTTTTTTTTCTAGTCCAGTCTAATTGGTGTTCTATAAGCTTCTTTTATGTGTATAGGCATCTCTTTATTTAGGTTGGGAAAGTTTCCTTTTGTGATTTTTTTTTTTTTTTTGAGACTACTTTCTAGGCCTTGGACCTGAGACTCTTTCACCTTCTTTTATTCCTATTATTCTTAGGTTAGGTCTTTTCATGGTATCCGAGATTTTCTGGATGTTTTGTGTCAGGAATTTTTTAGATTTAACATTTTGACTAATTTATTAATTTCCTGTATTGTATCTTCTACACCTGAGATTCTCTCTTCTATCTCCTGTATTCTATTGGTGATCTTTGCATCTGTTGATACTGTTCTCTTCCCTAAGTATTCCATCTCCAGGATTTCCTTAGTTTGTGTTTTCTTTATTGCTTCTATTTCCCCTTTCAGGTCTTGTAGAGTTGTATTTATTTCCTTCATCTGTTTAATTGTATTTCCCTGTATGATTTTAAGGTATGTGTTTCCTCTTTAAAGACCTCTCTCTGTTTGATTGTGTTTCTGGATTTCTTTAAGGGATTTATTCATTTCCTCTATCATCTTTATAAGATTGGATCTAAGGTCATTTTCTTGTGTTTCAGTTATGTTAGGATATCCAGGGATTGCTGTAGTATGGTAGCTGTTCTTTGGAAGTATCATATTTCCCTGGCTTTTGTTGATTGTGTTCTTTCAAGGGCCTTTAGCCATCTGGATGGTTTTAATGCCTGAATGTTCTTGTTGTAGTAAGTATTGGGAAGGGGGAGAACCAAGATGGTACTGATGTGAAAGGCTTCTGATGGTTATCTTGGGCTGTATGGTTCCAGACCTGAAGGTCTCTAAGATTCAGAAACCTCAGGTCTGATGAAGGTGGTTAGAGGCATGGCAGGAGAACGGAGGTCTCCTTGGGAGAGCAGGCTACTTCAGGGTGCAGAGGGCAGGGCAGGTTGGCAGGCAAAGGGAAGCTTACCTAGGTGACTCAGGTCTGATGAAGGTTGGAGAGAGGCAGCAGAAGAATGGAATGTTAAAATTTTTAAATTGGTTCAAGAAGGAAAAGAGACTGCCACCATTTCGGCAAAATTAAAGGTAAAAATGACACAACTGACAACTATGCCAATTGATGGTCTCTTGAGTGCTCTTACTGAATCCTCCTTTAAATGTGTCTGAAAATGACTCTGAAGAAAAGAGGAATTGTTCACCAGTTCTTCCCAGGTATTTTGATATGGCTTGATATTTCCTGTACAATTTTGGCAAATCAATTGTTTATTAGGGATGAAATATGGATATAAAGAAAGATCTTTAAAAGACTTTTGCTTAGTCTGATCTACTGCTTCATACTATTGTAACTATCTCTCTGTTTGGAACAATGACACACAATGGCTGCCATATGATTTTCATACATTTGCTCAAATGGTTATTAGCCCTTCCCAAAATCTTCGATGCTAAATGTGGCTTGCAAATAAAGTTCATGAAAAATTTTGGACAACTAGGACTAAGGGGTGATCCTGGAAATGTCGTATATGAAATTCTGACATTGTGAGTTGTGATAGGTACCCACAATTGTATAATAAAGCTCCTGCTGCATTCCCACATTTTAGGGGCATAGCCAAGGCTGCCTGGATAAAACTGATATAGCACCCAATACTGGAGTCCAGCTCTAGTGCAGCTCAGATCTTGAAGAGGGGTGGAGGTGGAGAAGGAAGAATAGAGACACACACAGGGATGTGTTGATCACACTTTCTGTCTTCTCTCAGAGAGGATTTCTACATGGGTTTTACATAATCAATTTCCAAGGACTTTCAAGATTACACTGCAATGTTCCTCAAACCTTCTACCCACATTCTCCTAACATGTCCAGGGAATAAAGGTCCTGCTAACTTGATATTAGTTCTACTTCTATAAAAATTAAACAAGGTCCTTCTGAGCTGCTGATTCCATAGTGAGACTCAAAAATGCTATTGAGAAATAAGTAAAATGGGATCAAATTCAAGAGTTATTATTAAAACCATTGGATTTTGATAATGCCAATTTACTTAGGGTTTCACCACTGTGAAAAGACACCATGACCAAGGCAAGTCTTATAAGGACAACATTTAATTGGGGCTGGCTTACAGGTTCACAGGTTCGGTCCATTAGCATCAAGGAGGGAACATGGCAGCATCCAGGAAGGTGGAGTACAGGAGGAGCTGAGAGTTCTACATCTTCATCTGAAGGCTGCTAGGAGAACACTGCCTTCCAGGCAGCTAGAATGAGGGTCTTAAAGTCCACACCCATAGTGACACACACACTCCAACAAGGCCATACCTTCTAATTGTGCCACTTCCTGTGCAGAACATATATAAACCATCACACTACTGAAGATTGCCAAGGATTAATGGCCTCAGAGAGAGACAGGAAATGTTAGGGACTTTCTAAATTATGTAGAAAAATTGAGACCTAAAACATAGAACAAAATTATCTGCTTTAGAAATTTGTACTGTTTCAAAACATGTGTCTGCAAACTTTTTCAATTGCAGCCAGTCTGGCCACTTAAAGAAATTATATAAGTTGCCCTATAACAAATGAATACTTAGAATCAAAGAATTCACGGCTTGCGCCCTAAATCCAAGAAAACACTGGGTTAAGAAATGCCAATCTAAATATAAGGACAGCTATGTATGGTTTAGTAACTATATCAATACCAACCAAGAACTGGGAAATGAACTGAGCCCCCCCCCACTACTTCATACCCCGCAGAAATAAAAGGGTTAAATCCCAGAGCACTAACATTTGTGCTAGCTTCAGATTGTAATCCATTTATTCTTTATTACAAGCTGGTACACACGTACACACACACACACACACACACACACACACACACACATGCTGTCATTGACATTCCTTGCTCTAAAGGCACCGCCATTTCCCCTCTTCAATGTACCTTTTAGTTACACACAGGAAACTGTAGACTTGTCCTAGCAGGAACAGATGGACTTTTAATTAGTCACAGTAGTTTACCCATGAAAGGAATCATGGTTCATGCAGAAGTCATATTAACAATTAGGCAGTGAAACTGCCATCATGGCAATGTGCTTTTGAGAGGATTGAGTAAGCCAAAGCCAGGCTGACTCCACGAAAGGCTGCAAACTGTCAGTTTGGGAGACTAGGCCTAAGTTTCTGTTTTCCAGAACCAGAAAATTCCAAAACAAGTCAATTCCGGGAAAAACCAACCCTCATGGGCAGCCAATCAGGAGTTGTCAGAAGCTGCCCCACCACCTAGCTTGTGCCAAATATAGTTAATCAGCAAAAGTCCCCAAAATCCCCAGAATGTTAACCAATCACAAAAGCAGCCATACCTCTGGAGACAGAGCCAAACAATCAAGGGAAAGGTATGTCACCCACTCCTACCCTAACAGGCTTTTAATTAACCCTGCAAAGCTACCCCTCTGTCTTCCATCCCGATGTATGGTAGACCCTTACATGCTGGTTCTCTACAGAATAAATGCTCTTTGCTCTTACATATAGTCTGAGTCTGGGATATCATTCTTCATGAATCACAGACCCTTACACTTCGACAGAAGCCATCTAGGAAAGGCTATGGCAAAAAAAAAAGTTTTGTAGAGATGGCCCACCATCTTGCATGCCTGCAGTGGGCTGCTCTGTGGTGCCGAGTCCTGAGAGACTTCATCACAGGATTGCTTCTTGCTGCTGATTTGCCTTTCCTGTCACTATTACATCGCCTAAGGATTCCTGGGCACAAGCCCATCCTATTGGGCAAATTTCCTGCAGTGTGACATGAAGATGAACTTTCATGAATTAATGCTGTTTAGAAGAATTAATGATTTATAGAATTCCTAGTTTGATTCAAATAATTTTAGGAAAAAGGTTAAGGAGATGGTTTCAGTTATTTTGCCAGAAAGATGTAATAAAGTTAGAATCAAGAATAGAATGTGCCCCTCCTCATAGAACAGTACGTAAAGGCTGCATAATAAGGAATGCAATGAGAGTTTCTAAATTGCACTGAGAAGAGAAATAGGTTTGGGACAGATCTGTAATCAAGGAAAAACATTCATTCTACGTCATATCCAAGGATGAAGCCACAGGTGTGCACTGTGATAAAGCAAGGCCATGTGAAACTGTCGATTTGAACTTACAATGAGCTCACAGACTGACACACTGCTTTGAACTTACATCAACATCCTTCTGCAACTCCCCTTTTGTGCAACATTTTATCTATGAAGTAACTTTTCCTTAGAGAATCTTTAGTTCAAAAAGCTATAAAAAGTTGTAACAATAATAAAGGTTGGTGCAGCCTTCACCCAGTGTACATGTGTCTCTGTGTGTCTGTTTTCTTTCTTTATTTCTTCATTTCATTTCTTTTCTCTCTGGCTCAAGGAAGAGTTAAAAGATTCTGAGCCTCTCGCCTGGACAACAAGGGGACCTGAGCCAGGGAGAAAAGAACCCAATTAAACTAAGCTTTTTTTTTCTTAATCTCCTACTGCCAGAAGCTTCTGGCCCCAGAGAGGTAAACTGCCAGACACCAGTAGATTTTAGCCCCAGAATAGCAAGAAAAATTGCCAAAAGTCAGCAGCTTTTGGCTCCAATCACTGCCTTCTTCAGTTACCTGGATGCCAGAAAAAGTTACCAACAGTGCTTCATTCATGATGGCGGATTTGATAACATAGACACAACTGTAACTTTAACTTTATTGAAGGAGAATCATAAAACATTAATGGATTTAAATGTAAGAAACTTGATGAGATTGACTCTAGAACAGACGTCTCTACTACAACCATAGAAGAACGGTCATCTCTCCACGCTCGGCCGGCATGGACATATTCTGCTCTAATAGACATGTAACTACTAACTCTGGGGAGAGTAGACAATGCGCTACAAGGTAACACTGCACAGGTCCAGAAGCAGGTCTGCTGCCTTAGGCTTCTCAGGGTCCTATTCATCTTTGTATCAAGTCCTGCCATAGGATTTCTCTCCAGCACAAGATTTTTTGTGACTACAAAGACTAGTGAGATATACAAAGCCTTTTCCACATTGAATACATTCATACCGTTTTTCTCCTGCATGAGCTCTTTTGTGTATTTGAAGATAACTACGACTTACAAAGGCTTTACCACACTGAGTACATTCATAGGGTTTCTCTCCAGTGTGAGTTCTTTCGTGTACTTGAAGAAGACTGCGAAGTGCAAAGCCTTTACCACATTGAGTACATCCATATGGTTTCTCTCCAGTATGATGTTTTTCATGGTACTGAAGACTAGCACGACTTGCAAAGGCTTTACCACACTGATTACATTCATAGGGTTTCTCTCCAGTGTGGGTTCTTTCATGTATTTGAAGATTACTGCGACGTGCAAACGCTTTACCACACTGATTACATTCATAGGGTTTCTCACCCGTGTGAGTTCTTTGGTGTATTTGAAGATGACTGGGACTTACAAAGGTTTTACCACACTGATTACATTCATATGGTTTCTCTCCAGTGTGATGTTTTTCATGGTACTGAAGACTAGCACGACTTGCAAAGGCTTTACCACACTGATTACATTCATAGGGTTTCTCTCCAGTGTGAATTCTTTCGTGTATTTGAAGATTACTGAGACATGGAAATGCTTTACCACATTCACTGCAACAATAGGGTTTCTGTCCCGTGTGAGTTCTTTTGTGTACTTGAAGATTACTGAGACGTGTAAACGCTTTGCCACATTCACTGCAATCATAGGGTTTCTCACCTGTATGAGTTCTTTGGTGTATTTGAAGATGACAAGGACTTACAAAGGCTTTACTGCATTGACTACACTCATAGGGTTTTTCTCTAGTATGGTTTTTTTCATGTTGTTGAAGACTACGAAAATTTGCAAAGGCTTTACTGCACTGATTACATTCATACGGTTTTTCTCCAGTATGAATTCTTTTGTGTACTTCAAGATAACTTCGATTTACAAAGGCTTTTCCACACAGAGTACATTCATATGGTTTCTCTCCAGTATGAACCCTTTTGTGTATCTGAAGAGAACTGTGACTTATAAATGCTTTACCACATTCATTGCACTCATAGGGTTTTTCTCCAGTATGAGTTCTTTCATGTACTTGAAGAGAACTGGGACTTGGAAAGGCTTTACCACAATGACTACATTCATAAGGCTTTTCTCTAGTATGATATTTTTCATGTTGTCGAAGACTATAGAAATTTGCAAAGGCTTTACCACATTGATTACACTCATATGGTTTCTCTCCAGTATGAATGCTTCTATGTATTTTGAGATAACTGCGGCTTGTAAAGGCTTTACCACATTGAGTACATTCATACGGTTTCTCTCCAATGTGAACTCTTTTGTGTACTGGAATATAACTGCGACTTGCAAAGGCTTTCCCACATTGACTACACTCAAAGAGTTTCTCCAGAGTGTGATGTTTATTATGATTTTGATTTTTACTGGCATTTTCAAAGGCTTCACCACACTTCGAACACGCATAAGGTTTCTCTCCAGTATCAGTTCTTTGGTGTATCTGAGAACTGCGACTTACAAAGGTTTTACCACATTCTCTGCAGTTACAAAGTTTCTCACCCATATGTGTTCTCTGATGTATTTGAAGAGAACTGGGACTTACAAAGGCTTTACCACAGTGATTACATTTATATGGTTTTTCTCTAGGATGAGTTGTTGCATGTTGCGGAAGACTATGGAAATTTGCAAAGGCTTTACTGTATTGATTACGTTCATAGGGTTTCTCTTCAGAACGGATTCTTTCATATGTTTGAAGAAAACTGTTACATACGAAAGTACATTGTTTCCTTCCATGGCCCTTATTCTCACAGGGCTTGTATCCACAATTACAGATGTTGTATCTATTAAAGAAGAAATAACAAAAGGTTTTTCACACTGGATTCTCACATGTGAACTTTTTTTTCCTCATAGATATGTACTATAGGGGTTAAGGCTTCTCTATGACAACAAACTTCCTGCTTCCCGTAAACTATTCCCTCTCACTAAACTTTGGAAAGTCACTATAAGTATATGAGTAACACCAGCTTTACTATGGACTATTTGGTTATAAAAAGACATACACTGGTCCCCTAATCAATGATTCCTATGATACTCAAATAGGATGAAACTAAATGGATTTACAGTTCTTCAACATGGCTCTCATGACTAAAATAGTGTCATGTGTTAAGATATTATTTGTCTCTTTCCTTAGAGGAATGCCACACAAACATAACTCAGTTACCTGAAATTCAAGTTCATGGTCTTTTGAGAATTCACTAATCATCAGTATACTTAAAGCTGTGTTTATTTACACTGTTGATTTTCCTTAAAACTTCAAGGTACATTAAATTGTCTAAAGTGAAACATTTGCATTAGCTTGCACATGAAAATTACCTCCCATGTCTTCCAGAACTTTGACAGTGTTCTTCAATATTGTGGTCTTCCAATCTGTACCCTAAAATACAGTACCAGAAAATTTATGATAAATTATTGGATACTGTGCAAATTTTAAGTTAGTATCTCTGATGAACCTGAGAATCATGTCTGAGTATGTATATTCACCAAATACTTCCTCTGTCATAAGAGAAATCACAGAAGTGCACCAATAACCAAGAAACACTTGTCCCCTTGTTTAGAAAGTGAACGACAACTAGCATTCTCACCTACGGCAGTGAGGTTCCTGCAGGTTTCCAGCATCACATCCTTATAGAGACTCTTCTGGGAAGGATCCAGCAAAGCCCACTCTTCATGAGTGAAATTCACATGCACATCCTCATAGCTCACTGCGGCCTAAAATAGCCCAATAGGGACATAATAGACATGGTGAGACTGACTGCACTGTAAATGTACATTTCACTGAGAATATATTTACATAATTCTAGTGTTCCACACATGTATTCCACATCATAGACTTTCAAATGCAGTCACAGGTCATCACAAGTAAACAGAAAAGAGGATCACACCTCTCATTTCTGGGCCCACTGAATTCCATACAGCATTGCAAGACAAATGACTACTAACAGACAATCCAGAGAGACACTCGAGCAGGTCAACACTATTGAATTATACAATAGCAAAATTATATCAAAACCCCTAACTTCAAGAAAGGATGGACAAGACGAGTGTGGTGATGTACACCGTTAACATCAGACTCAGGAGGCAGAGACGGGGATTCAGTGACTGCTGGGCAGCCTACTTTGCATACTATTTTCATGACAGCCAGAGGTAAACAGTGAGATCCTGTCTCAAAAAAAAACAAATAAAGGATAGGAAACACTCAAGAGCTCACTTGAAATTCCTCCAGCAAGTTAAAATTTAGTTTATCAGAAAACTGGAGTGCCCAGTTTAAACCACAGGGGGAATATAATATTTCTACATAGGAGTGCATTTGTAATAAGTTACTGACAGATCAAAGAGGTCTCAAAAATATTAGTAAATATATATTGATCCAAAGTCAAAACCAAAAGCAACAGCAACAAAAGGAACACAGAAAGGAAAAATGGGTCAACACTTAAGATCAAGTGAGGACATTAGTCCCCAACACTCATTTGGAGGCTTCCAAGCATTCATACGTCCAGGTCAACAGAATCCAATGTTCTCTTCTGAGTTCATGAACACCATGCACACAAGTGGTACACATTCATGTATTTGTGTGCATGTGTTTGCGTTCACACACATGTATATGCAAAGGACGAGTGTTTTAAAAAGCAAGAACATAAAGAGAGGGAGAACCTAATGTTACTCTAGGGAGGGGCATAATCTCATGCTTGTGAAGGCTCAGGATTAAGGACAAGAATGATTGCCATTTGCTTAAAAAATAAGACCTTCTTCAAAAGCTCAAAACTCAACATGTGTGTAAAGCTCAATACAAGTGCTTGGTGCCAAGAGTAAGTGCATGTGGGTGCCATGCTGCCCGGGGCAGTGGGAGCAGCTGACCAGGCTGGTGTGCTCGGGGGGACTACATCCTGAAGTTCCTCACGGTCTTCCCCACATGCTTTCCTGAATCAAGTAACGTGTGGGATTCTGGAATAACGGAAGGGAATGGTGTGGACGTTGAGGGTGTGGTGGACCTGATTTGAGCAGGCAAGGAGGAATTGATCTGGACAATGCTGTCTGTACCTCTTCCTGAGGCTGACAACCCAGTGACCACTCAAGTGGTCAATCACTTTCTAAAAGGAAGGGGCATGTCATCACAGCCATCCCATCATGAACTTTAAGCTCCATGCCTGCACTGAAGAAGGGCAACGGGAACCAGGCAGTAAGCAGCATTTGAACAGGATGAGATGCACCAATGGGCACAGATGAAGAAGGAGTGGTCTTCTGAATATGCACGAAGAGGAAAGAAGCCTCGAGGGTTAAAATCTTCATGCCACGTTTCAATTACATGCACAAATGCTGTGGGAGGGTATTCTGCAAGCTCAAGTGAAGCAAAGATGAATATTAGTTACAGCCTGATTATCCTATGTGAGCCAGGACATTCCCTGGCCTCTGCATGCTGAGGGGACTATGGCAAGTACCCTGCTTCTTCCCTTATGGAGGGTGGACACTGGGTGCAGGCTCTCCATCTCTCAGGACTCCATGGACCCTCTCTGCCTGTCTGATTGTTGTTGTTTGGTTGTTTTGTTAATCAAATAACCCTCCATGCTCTTCCTGACCCAGGAGAGCACCTATCCTGAGTTTTAGCCATGTGACTGGATAAATCACAGTGAGTCTTTCTACACTAACCAAGAACATATATGTGGAGGAATTTTTTTTGCTACTGTTGTTTGTAGGCATCAATTAGTACTGGAGTAGAATTTAGAAGACTTTAGCTACTTACTCTCAAAGAAAATCAGAAAATCAAGAAGTCAGTCATATGGAAGTTTGTGTTCTTACTATAGTAGAAAGAACACTGGGCTCTGGAAGTCATCTGAGATTTATCTTGCTTCTTTTATCTTTGATTTTTAGGCAAAGCAACACCCTTAGATCTGAACTGTCTCTTTTATAAAAGAGGAAGACTGAGCCAGGTGGTAAATATTCAGAGTCCTCTGGGCTCTGAGAGGCTGTGGCTCTGGAGGGGAAGTTGAGTCAGGCTGTTAGTCCTGTGCTGCTCCAGTCCTGTTGGAGGGTTATTTCCAGAATAGAGGCCATACTTCTCCTCAGTAATTCTTTTTTTTTCCCCTTTCAGAATATTTTCTAGATGGCGAGTCACAGCAGAGGGATACGGCCACAGCCTCCCCTCATCCCTTCCCTTCTCCTTGCCCTCAATCCTCTTAGCCTTTCCACTGCCCATGTTAGACAGTAATCATAACACAAAAGAAGGGAAAAAAGGGGGAAAAAAGACATTATATCCCAAAGTCCTAGGCTAGATATTACTAATAAGTAAGTTCCTGTAAACTTTACATCTCTGGAACTGAGCTGGCAGGGAACAGCAGGTTGATAATGCCAGAAGTCCACTAAGATCAGATAGAAATATCCCAACCAGCTCGCCACAGGCATCTTTGTCATTTTACCTGAGCCTCATCCCAACAGACTCTCCTTGAACTGTATTTTAAAACCTGGAACTATAAACTCCATCCATTTGCACTATTCAAGCATATGTGTGTATGCAAATGCATATGTATGCATATGTATGTATGTATACACACAAATTAGCTGGCCATATACACATATACATACTGATGGCAGGACCTTTCTTAGCTTGTGTTTTTATATACTTTTCACCAAATTCATGACCTCGCTCTTGCTCTCTTTATCTTGAAACAAACTTTAAAAAGGAAAATAAATTACAGGGAAAATCTGTCTCCTCATGAAGGACTTGAAAAATTTACAACCTGCTTGGCTATTCCTGTCCTTTTTGTGTTGAGTACAGTTTCTGGCTGTTGGTTTGCCATAGTCTGAGGAGTAAGGACTGTAATGTCTTTACTGTCATGTCAGGAGCCATGATGGGACAAGCTAATTATTAGCAGATGATCATCCTGAAATGCTTGCCTCAAATTATTATATAATCTGCGACAAAGTCAGCCCTCATCTAGCAAGGCTGTGAGAGACATATTTTAGGAAAGATTTCTGCTATTAATATGCTTTTTCTATTATTATTATTATTATTATTATTATTAAACATATATAACAATCACTAAGCAATAGCACACCCCTTTGGAGCAGATCTCTGCAGACCCACAAAGATGTACTGTCTTTTAGTGATGCTATATAGACAAATAGATGACTTCTTAAGTCTTAATGATGATCCTATAAGAATTCCTAAAATTATATCAATGATTATTAAGCTCTTTTATAGTGAGACTGCTATTAGGTCCCTTTCTGATAGTCAAAACTGCAATGAGAACTCTGCCAGTCTCCCAAGTGTCATCAGTTAGTTGCTCTTAGATAGTAACCAGACTTTCTCCTGCTCAGAGCACATTCCACGAGGCTGTAAAACAATTAACCAAGGGTCACTAAAACTCACGATTTATTACAGGTGCTGGGACAGAAGAGAAAATATTGCCTGGGTTTATCTATACAAAACTTCACTAATTTCTTAGTTATAGTTTTAAACCTTCAGTGAACCTGTGAAGCTAGACAGGTGATGGATGTTTAGCCAGATAATTACAGAGCTAGGTCTGGGCCTGGGCCTGGCTCAGTTGGTAGAATGCTTACCTAGCATGCATAAAGTCCTAAATTCCATCCCTAGCACACATAAGACTTGGGTGTGGTAATGCACACCTGTAAGCTCAGCACTTAAGGAAAGCAGGAAGCTCAGAATTCTCAAGTCTACCCTCTGCCTAGTGAGTTCAAGGCTAACCTGAATCACATGTCTCAAAGGTAGAAGAGTTCCTTACCTACTCCTGCAGTTAAACCTCCTAAGACCTAAAAGCTACATTTGGGGCAGAGGCCAGGCTGGCACCCAGGTAATAGTCTCAAACCTTGAGTTCTTACATAAGGAACATGTAGGTTAGATACAACTAAAACACATCTTTGAAATTCTTTCCCAACTTGACCTTCGACATTGAGGCCTCTGTCGGCTGCATCCGTGGCTTCACAGAGCTGGAAGACATCCAGAACTGGATGTGTCGGCAGTGTTGGATTTTTGTTGTTGTTGTTGTTGTTGTTGTTTTGGGTTTTCGAGACAGCATTTCTCTGTGTAGCCCTGGCTATCCTGGAACTCACTCTGTAGACTAGGCTGTCCTCAAACTCAGAAATCCGTCTGACTCTGCCTCCCAAGTGCTGGGATTAAAGGCGTGCGCCACCACCGCCCGGCTGGATTTGGTTTAAAGTTTCTTTCATACTTTGGTTTTGCAGAGAATTACGAGGCCACTTTCCCGTCTCCATTACTCTGGCAGCAACTTGGCCCAGGAAGGTGTGAACCTTTTAGGACAGGCTATTCCTCTCCTCTCCAAACAAACAAAGTACAGCATATAAGAATGGTGAGTATTTAAAGTTGAAGAGGGCAATGCCTGATTTGAAGACTTTAATCAGGATCAACTCTCCCTTGAGGCTTTAATAATGAGTGCCTGAAGAGTGGATGCACTGATTTCCTCTCTAAGATGCTTTGGAGGACAACTTTGTTCAAATTGTAAAAACAGCAACAGTGTGTCCCTATTCCCTCAGGGAGAGAGACATGAACAAATGGAGAGTCTGCACTACAGCCTTCCAGAGTAGAGACAGGTTATTGGAGGTCTTGAACAGTAAACCAAGAAAGTGTTGGGGTTAACAGAATCTGTGTAGGAACAGCCTACTTTAGGTAGTCTTGCTACCAAAGCACATAGCTGCAGCTCGGAGATGGGAGAGGAAGACACCAAAGGCTTACAGTG